AGAATTACATTGTAATATATAGGGAACATCGATTAAAAATATCTTCTTCTAAAGAACCAGGACAGCTAAAAGCTGTGTGAATGCTTCCTTCAAATGAACTATCATACCATTATTACATAGATCCGTTTTTCTGAGGAGGAATCACCGTTTTCTACGAGTGTATCCAAGGTTAATTTTACTATTTACTAGATTTCCTATATACATATGATTACTCTGCTAATTCCAGGCGAACCCCCCCCCCCCCTCCCAATTCCAGATTAGGTCAGGAGTCAAGGAGGACTACTATGCATCCTAATCTCGTGTACCTGTCTTTGTGTCTGACGCCAAGGACACAATATCTGTATGTAAATCTCGTACAGCTGTCTTTGTGTCTGACGCCAAGATAACTTATTTGTATGTAAATCTCGTGCAGCTGGGTACATCCCACTAATTATTTTTAGAATCGGTAGGAGAAGAAAGTAGTGCAGAAAAAATTACAAGTTCCTTAATTTGCAGACTTGCATAAAAAAAATTGGGCAGATGTACTGAACTGAGCCTCACACTTGTTAATTAGCAGTATCTTTCCTACCAAAAAAGCTTGGCAAATGTAATTTATCAAGAAGATCAGCCGAATTATTTTGTGTATTATAACGCCAGTGAGAACTCTGAAATTTCTCTACTTTCACTTTCACTTTCAGAGGTTCTGCCAGAAAACGAATCTGACATGCCACCTTCAGATTTTAACCAAGGAAAGACAAGTCGATGTGCTTTGATTGAGGGGTCACTCACTTCTGAACGAAAATTAGGGACATCGCTATGAGAAGAAACGTTAACATTGTCGCCTATGGGAAAACAATTAGTGGACTGTACCCATATTGGGAAGCCTATAAGTAAGTGATAGATGTCATAGACCTTGAATTTATTTCAAAGTTGGTGTTTTCTATTATTTTCAATTGTTAAAATTTATGAAAAAAACAGTTTTTTTATTGTTGATATACATTTTTAAACAAATTGATTCATAAATAAAGTGTCTAGCCCCCCCCCCCCCCTCCCGGAACAGTCAACATGCTCATACGTGTATCACCCATCGTTTACACATGTATCGTGTAGATTAAATGTATCGATTTATATCATTTATTTATTCAGAATCATAAATGTATTATTTGATGAAGAAACAATTATGTAGAAGTACATGATCCACTGTGGTTTATTTTCAATACACAAAAATTCACAAATGAGGTCGGGATCGGTATTCAATCAGGGTCAAGGTCGAAGTGAAAGTAGACTTAGCAGAAAGTTATCAAAACTGGTCAGTGCAGTGTTTAGCAGTTTATGGGTGATGGGCATTTGTATTTTACACAGGCGGTAAGAGGTATACCTTAGTACAGTATTTGTAAATAGCAATTTAATGTTTTTGGAACATGATGATTGACAGGTCACATACAGGACATACATCCTTTCAGATCAGTTGCGCGGTCAAGCTGGGTACAGTGTCTGGGAGTTAAACGATGTGTGTGAACATGTACATTAACTAATTTTACTCATATTTTTTAGCAATTGCATTACATGTATTTGTTGAATGTACAATTATTGTCAGTAAAACATGCTTTTTACCTATTCTGCTGAATTAACTTAATTACCAATGTTAACAGTGTGATTTCAAGTGGAAGCAAATTCATCATTTTTAATTAATTTCAAGTTAGGGGCATAAAAGGAATATGGTAAAATTGTATGTGTTGAATGTCTGTGTGTCTGTCTGTCTGTCTGCAAATGTGATATTGTGCCATTTATTGTATTGAATTTTTTTTTTTAGGTTCATGGTGATTGGTACAGGAAAACCATGAGGTTCATGCAGATGGTGTTTAAAACTATTGGCCAGCAAATGCGAATACATCTTGAAACATCACCAGCAAAATGTGACAGTCGGCAAAATGTGTAAGTTAAAATTTCTTTTAAAAAAATTTCATTGAAGTGGAGGTGGGGTGGGGAGGGGGGGGGGGGGGTTGTACATATTGAATAGGTGATAAGAATATGGAAGTATTTATCTATAACTAATCTGTACATGCACTGCTATATACATTTTGCAGCTCATATAGATTTTCTTTTCTTATTTAAGAATTTCAAATTAATTAGATCTACATCTTTGTTTGTAAATTATGTATTATTAAGATTACACGGATATAAGAATTGACATTTCATAAATGTTTGACTGTCAAAATTATGCCCTTTGTCAAAAATTCAAAATTTTGTCTCATTTTCCTACAAATTACAAAATGGTTACCATGGAAACAAAACAGCTTTACTAGATTATTTATTAAATCTGCAAAACCACATATTTTTATTTTTTAAAGTTATAATGAATATATTATCACTGATTTTGTCTTAAATGAAAAGTACGGGAAAAGTGATGATACACATGTATTGAGCTATCCATTATTATGATGTCATTGTGACGTCATAGATGACTAAATTTGCATTGGCATAAAAATTGCTTTGAAACAAATGATTCTATATAGGAGTATAAAGGCTTATAACTTTTTTATTCATAGACCAAATTTCATGAATGATATGTCAATGGACAGGAAATAATCAGTACTTTCTTATTTTACTACATTCGGGGTATTTGTTAACTTAATTTTTTGGTCATTTCTGGAGAAACTATGACTTATAGGGTGAAAAATGGTCATATTTTGTGCGGAAATACATAAATTTTTTAAAATAAGTGAAATTGACCCAATTAAGTGCTTGATTATGATTTGACTATATGTATTTAAAGTTATGAAGGTGAATAAGAATGGTATAAATGTGTTAATAAGCTAAAATTTGACTTAAAACTTGGGTGCAGTTTTGGCTAGATTGGAGCATTTTTTAAGGATATTACACATGGAATTGTAAATGCTGTAAAATCTGAATTAATGGTTGAATTTTCATGAAACTTGGCATGATGTCTCTACTTATGCTCTAGATTGACAAACAGTGTGAAATATTGTAAAATCAAAAAAATGCTTTCTCATATTGGGTACATCCCACTAATTATTTTTAGAATCGGTAGGAGAAGAAAGTAGTGCAGAAAAAATTACAAGTTCCTTAATTTGCAGACTTGCATAAAAAAAATTGGGCAGATGTACTGAACTGAGCCTCACACTTGTTAATTAGCAGTATCTTTCCTACCAAAAAAACTTGGCAAATGTAATTTATCAAGAAGATCAGCCGAATTATTTTGTGTATTATAACGCCAGTGAGAACTCTGAAATTTCCCTACTTTCACTTTCATTTTTAGAGGTTCCCGCAGACAGACGCATTTTGCCGGAAAACGAATCTGACATGCCACCTCGAGATTTTAACCAAGGAAAGACAAGTCGATGTGCTTTGATTTGAGGGGTCACTCACTTCTGAACGAAAATTAGGGACATCGCTATGAGAAGAAACGTTAACATTGTCGCCTATGGGAAAACAATTAGTGGACTGTACCCAGCTGTGTTTTTTTTTTTCACGTCAGAGGGCCGGACCTATTCAAATGGATATGGATGCCTCGTTTTACTTGAATGTTTAGAATATATTTTTAAAAATCTAAATAATATTTTATTTTTCAATGAAATTGTATTATAAAGAATCACTGTCTAATTAGTAGAGTTTGTCAGGTACACCAGTAATAGTTAGAAACATGGAATATTTTAGGCATAATGGGATTCGTCTGTTATGAAAATTATACCACATTTCCGTCATCCTTTAATGTTCTGGTACATGTATAATATACTAGCTATGCTTTTTCAATAAATATACTTATTTTCGAAATTAAAAAAAAAACGAAATGTTTTGGCGAACTCTCCAAATTTTTATCTGAATATATCATTTATATATAATTAAATGAAGAATAACGTAACAGTCGAATACGCATTGTGGATCGATCTGGTTTTAAATGTTTTACTCGAGTTCTCTAGAACAGACTTTTACTCTTTTTCACAAATGAATGTATTTGGGTCTTCACAGAGAACATCATCCCAGTGACCATTCCGGCAAACTTTGGCACAGTCTGCACTGTTAATATTGTCAGGTTGATTTTCGTACCAGCTTGTAAACGTGAAGATGGTACGATGATTCCACTTAAAAACACCTTCCTCGTCCATATCAGTAGCTCCTACCCAATGCTCACAGCAATCCCACCAGTTTGGACAGTCAACTGAAATAAACTTTAGACAGTCAGCTGTAATAAACTTTGGACAGTCAACTGTAATAAACTTTGGACAGTCAACTGTAATAAACTTTGGACAGTCAATTGAAATAAAATTTGGACAGTCAACTGTAATAAACTTAGGACAATCAGCTGTAATAAACTTTGGACAGTCAACTGTAATAAACTTTGGACAATCAACCAAAATGATAGAGAGGTTTAGCAAACTCACTTGCTAGTGTACGTGTTCTTTGTAAATTACAAGTTAGAATTACACGTACACGTCTTGTTTAACAAAGTATAACCTGTGCTTGTACTTGTCGAATACGCATTGTGGATCGATCTGGTTTTAAATGTTTTACTCGAGTTCTCTAGAACAGACTTTTACTCTTTTTCACAAATGAATGTATTTGGGTCTTCACAGAGAACATCATCCCAGTGACCATTCCGGCAAACTTTGGCACAGTCTGCACTGTTAATATTGTCAGGTTGATTTTCGTACCAGCTTGTAAACGTGAAGATGGTACGATGATTCCACTTAAAAACACCTTCCTCGTCCATATCAGTAGCTCCTACCCAATGCTCACAGCAATCCCACCAGTTTGGACAGTCAACTGAAATAAACTTTAGACAGTCAGCTGTAATAAACTTTGGACAGTCAACTGTAATAAACTTTGGACAGTCAACTGTAATAAACTCACTTGTACGTGTACATGTACGTGTAAACTACAAGTTTGAATTACACGTACACGTTAACATTTTTTTCTTGTTTAGCAAATTATAACCTGTACTTGTACATGTAAGTTTTTAAATGTTAAAGTGGTTTACATTTAAAAATCATCCGCAAAAGCAATGATTTTAATACGTATATTACCATTTTTCACATAAATATATGCTTGTACTTATGAGAAAAAAGATTGTACAGATTTCTAATATCTTCAAAGCCTGTTTTGAAAATCTAGATGTTGTGATTTTAACTACCTATAAACTAATATTTTTCAATTGCTGACGTTCAGTTCTTTGATCAGTATTTGCAATAAATATTAAGGTTTTCGAAAAACGCACACTTTTTGAAAAATAAACAGCAGTTAAAGAATTATAAGCTACAAGTCTGGACTTACGTGTACTTTGCAATCTACACGTAACCTGCGTAAGAGGATATGTGTAGAAATTTGTCATTAGCAAAAGTGATGACGTAATGCACAGATTTCTAGTGGTACACGTACGCGTACACGTTGGTTTGCTAAACCTCTCTAATAATGAAATGTAGTATAATTGTGTGTCTTTGTTACAGCTGTTTAATGATTTATGGTTTTGATTTGACAGAGACACTTTGCCGTGTTTAATTTACCAACCCCACAGGATGACGCCATGAAGAGCATTGTCCATGGAATTCTGGATGTAAGAGCTATAAATTAAAAATATTTTAATGCAGTGATTGAGTATTTAAAGTACAAGTTTTTTTTAGATAAAGAAAAGTACCTGAGAAACTTTCCTTAGTACATGTATATAATCATGTCTAAAATAGGAATTTGTTTTTTTCCTCACAGGTGAACATGACAGATGGAGACCGGCCTGGACTTGACATTGACCTTCACAACAGCCTGGTCAAGGCCTCGTGTGAGCTGCTGAAGCAAAAGGAATCAGGATATATAAATTTCATATTTTTCAACATCATAACAGCACACTCGAGCTAAAAAACAATCCTACCACTTGAATTAAACAAGCCCCCAAAATAAATTTACATGCCATGAAAAAATTTAAACACTTTCCCTGACATGTCAGCTCAAGTATGGGGTACTGACGTCATATTCTATTATGACGTATATTAGGTAGTTAGAGAAGTTACTACAAATTGAACAGTCTGATATTTTAGGGGCACCCTTTTTACCTAAATATAGCTGCGTTTTTAACAGTATTTGCATTAAATATTCAGGTTTTAGAAAAACGCAATTTTTTTTGAAAAATAAACAGCAGTTAAAGAATTATAAGCAACAAGTTTTGACTAACATTTACTTGGCAATTACACGTAATTTTGGAAAGAGGAAAAAGTGGGGAAAATTTGTCATAAGTAAAAGTGATGAGTAATGCACAGATTTCGGGGCCCCACCGCACGTCCCCGTACAGGTTTTTTTGCTAAACCTCTCTTATATCTGGACAGTCAACTAAAATAATATCTATATTGTAATAAATTTTGGACAGTCAGCTGTAATATACTTGGACAGCCAACTGTAATAAACTTTGGATAGTCCACTGTAATTAACTTTGGACAGTCAACTGTAAAAAAAATATGGACAGTCAAATAAAATAAACCACAACGATCAATTCATTCAAGTTTTCTTTCTATAGCAATGGTGTTTTCATAACCCTTCATAATCTCTCAAAACCTACATATTTTTATGTAAGTGGTTAATTCATCTATTGGTTTTACTATAAATGGTATTTACTTTACTTAGTTTTCATTTCTTACACGCTGTGGACAATGATATTCTAAAAAATTTTTTTCTCGTGATTTCTTTACTAGAAAAAAAAATAAAATTTGTAGGGAAGGTTTTACAAAGCTGAATTATCTCTGTATAATACTTGCTCATGTATATTTTAAGTTATTTTTTATTTTAAGTTAAGGTCCCCAAAGTCAAAGATATGTTCTAAAGGAAAATTTAAACCAAAGGAAGACTACGAACATATACGATGATACTACAGGGGTTTCATCAGACTTGCTTGATGCTAGCAAAATCAAGAGGAAATAAATCCGTCTGCATGGACACCAAATTACTCTCCTCAGAAGCCATGGCAGTTCTTACATGATGCAATGAGACCTGCGCTTTCCAGGTAATAATAAGATTTTTAAAAAAAACCTTTATGTATATGGTGAATCTACATCAGAGGCATCTACACTTACTTAAAAGTCTGTAGAAATTGAAAGGAGAGATATGTGAAAAGTAAGAGCATAAACGTAAAACTGTTGTTACATTTATCATGAAATCCTCCCAAGCCAGATATGAATAAAATTCTTTCCCAGAAGTTTGGGAAGTTTATTTATTAGAGACGTTTAGCAAACCAACGTGTACGAGTACGTGTAGTGTAGCACCAAAAATCTGTGCATTAGTTATCACTTTTGCTAATGACGAATTTCTACACGCATGTTCTTACGCAAATTACCTGTACATTGCCAAGTACACGTAAGTCAAAACTTGTAGCTTATAATTCGTTAACTGCTGTTTATTTTTCAAAAAGTGTGCGTTTTTCGGAAACCTGAATATTTAATGCAAATACTGATATAGGAACTGAACGTCAGTAATTGAAAAATATTAATTTATAGGGAGTTAAACTCACAATATCTAGATTTTCGAAACAGGCTTTGACCGATTAAAAATATAAGAAATCTGTACAATCTTTTTCTCATAAGTATACATGCATATTTTTATGTAAAACGGTAATATACATATTAAAATCATTGCTTTTTTGGATGATTCTTTAATGTAAACCACTTTTACATTTAAAAACTTACAAGTACAAGTACAGGTTATACTTTGCTAAACAAGAAAAAAAAAATGTTAACGTGTACATGTAATTCTAACTTGTAGTTTACATGTACATGTACACGTACAAGTGAGCTTGCTAAACCTCTCTATTCTCTTTAAAATGACCAATTTACCATCATTCCAAGGTGAAAGACAGGTCTCATTTTCCATGTATTTTCTTCTTTTTTTCCCCCCTTACAAGGTGGACTCCTTTTTTTTTCACACTCTACCTGTCATATATTTGCGTCAAAATTAACTTACAATTAACTTACATTGTGAAAAAGATATATATACATGTACATTTCTATATCGAATCTTTTACATCAGAGTAAAGTTAGAGACCATACTTTTTAATTACATCGTAATTCTTTGCTTTGATGATAACATCGAAGAGTTGATTCCATGAAAAAATTCGTAAAATTTATTATAGGTGTAATTATGTATTCTTACTACTACATACACAGCAATAGATACTAAGGGATCAGCCTAGACAATTTGCATTTAAGTAGAGATGCAAAGCTTCGTTTTTTGACATTGACATTTTAGCTTGGTTTTGCTTTGTTTTCCCTTTTGGTTACCAGTTTGTCTTAGTTTTGTTCAGGAAATAACAATGCCCATTAAAAGGAACCCAGCCGACAGAGCAACCTGGAAAAGACAATAATATATTTTTCGTATCAAAACATCCCATTTTTAGTTACACAGACAGTTAGTGGCAATACAGCTACACCCTTTACAGGGTGAGAAATGGAAATCCGAATTCGACGAGGCGAAGTCTGTGTGAATCCG